ATGTGGCACTTACTGTTTTATAAATGGAATTTTTATAAAGAAAAGAGAATCCATTGCCATTCACATTAAATCTTTTTAATATATAAACAACTTTAGTTTTTAACTGCTAGCCCATTTTTTCCTGATGAGAGCTTCACCTGAATAGTACTGCCTTAACATTGCTGCCTGTCCAGTAAGCTTTCCTGGGAAAGGCCACTTCTATTAACACGGGGCAACAGTGGGACAGAAGTATAAATATTGAAAGTTAAGTAAAGTACTCAGAGCTGAAATCTCTAAAATACTTTCAACTTTTCCCCATCTAATAGGAAGGGAAATGGTACAGGGTAACATTCAGAAAAGGGTGCTAATAAGCTTGATGTATAGGAAAGTTCTGCCAATTGTGGAGATCATAGCATAAAAACGGTGAAGGGAGGCTCTGTAGTTAACATCTCAGTCACAAAAATATCTTTAGTTACTGCTTTACATAAACAAACATTTAAATACATTTTTGCTATTGTTATTTTCATACAAAGCCTTACTACGTAACCCATTTTTGCTATGGTTATTTTTAGACAAAGCCTTATACGTAACCCAGGCTACACTGACCCCTCTTGCCTCCATCTCCCCAGTGCTCCCATGCCCAGCTGACCAATACATATTGTTTGAGTCTATACAGTTATGATTGAGTCTATCATGCCCAATGGGGAAATTTTATTTATTTACTAAACATTTTCTAAGATAATGCTTATGTTACTTGTTGAGATAATATTTTACCTAGAGATATAATAAACTGAACCCAAACTCATAATTATTGCAAATTCTGACTTATTAAACTTTTATTTGCTTGTATTTACTGCCACCTTTCTTAATAATAACTTTTTAATGCCTATATACCATGAAATAAAATGTCAGTCCTCATAAAGCTCAAAAACCATATGGTTACTGTTCTTGCTTTAATGATGAGGAAACTGAGCCTTGCATAGCCAGTAATCATGCCAAATTAGAGGTGCCAGGACTTGAAAACATGTCAAGTACTGAGGCTTGTGTTTTTCATACCTTTCTGTATTGCCTCCTTTCCAAAAATATTCTTGGAAGGCTTAATGGTGTAGCAATGCAGAAAATACTTCAATTCTCATTTTCTCTTGGCAATTATCTTTTATCTCATTTATGAGGTTTCTTCAAGCAGGAAGTCACCTTGAATGTAACATACTCAAAAGCATAAAAGGAAAACTTACTTTATCATCATTTTTGAAAATCAATTTCTCAATATAATGTGTTTATAGAATCCAACTACAATATTTAAAGAATGCCATTGTATCTATATAATTATACTTGTATTCTAGGGATGACTCAGCCAGAAGTTAGCCATCTGACTTACTGTGTTTGTTCTCTGCACTCAGTCTCAAAAAAGAAAGAGGGTTGAAATAACCCAACTTTAATTCCCAAATCCTACGCTTCTCTTAATATAAACTGGATCTTTGGAAGTATATTTATAAATATTGTTTCAATAAAAACAAACATCTGGGTATTTCAAGTTGACCACACTAACAGAAATGGGCAGTAGATGTCAGAAAATCTAACTTTTAATCCAGCTCTGCTACTTATCTCTTGAATCATTAAACATCTACAATACCAGACACTGTTTTGGGCATTTTTACCACAGAGTATGAAAGACAATCCCTACTGTCAATAAACAAGTAACAAGAACACTATAGGTAGTCCTAAGTACTCGTGGAGTAATTCCAAATGGCCTCCTCTAAGATCCCCAGGATGCACATATACCTTTTCCTAGTGAATTCAACCAACATCTAATCTAGGTGTGCAGTGAAGGTATCCTAAGGATGTAGTCAAGTGACTTTTAGAAATACAGATTGTTTTGAAAGGAATTGTCTATAGGGAGCCTGATTAGTCAGGAGAGTCTGACGAGCTCTCTTCTGTCCAGAAAGCTCTGAAGTAGAAAAGCACATGAAGAATTAGAGTTTCTCCATTATGGCTTTGAGGACAGAAGGAGCCTCATGACAAGGATTGTGGGTGTCCCCTGGAAGCTGAAAGTGGCTTCTACAGTTGAGGAACTGAATCTTGCCATAACCATGTAAGTTTGGAAGAGGACCCTGAGCCCTACATGGCCAACACCTTGATTTTAGTTTTGTGAGATCCTGAGGTAAAGTCCTAGTTATGCTGTGCCTAGACTTCTGACATACAGAACTTTGAGCTAATAAATGAGTACTGTTGTAAGATATAAAATGTGTGGTGATTTATTACACGGCATTAGAAAAGAAATATAGTTCTATACAGAGCATCACAGAGGAGAACATAAATAAATGTATTGGTGACTATTTACTTACCAGAAATAGTTTGTTTAATGCTATATATAGCTCTATTGTGAGTACTCTGTACTTTAGCACTTCTGTAGAATTAAAGGATTAAAACACTTTTAATTAATCCTTTAATAACTAGAACTATTTCTGGTAAGTAAATAGTCACCAATAATTTAATTATGTTCTGTAACCCCTGCTTTCACTGTATTTATTGTTGGTATAATTTGTGAAGGGGAAGGGCAAAAACAAATTGTTTAACTAGGGATACAGGTGGACCCCTTGCAACAATGAGATGTACAAGTCCTTATGTCGAAAAATGAACTTTACAACTTTGGTGGGCGGGGCGAAGAAGGGGGGAGGGGAGTATGGGAAGGGGAAACAAAGAGGAGACTCTGAAGCTTCAAATGACACTGTGGAAATCTGAAACGAGGGGATGTCATGAAGGCAGCTTTTCTTTTTCTGAGGAAAAAAAAATAGGCATGGGCTACAGGACTATTTAAAATGTCTCATTTACAGTATAAAGCTCAAAGGTATATGTAATTTTTACACCTATGAGTATTCAATTTCTGTCTCTTACCATTGGGTAACCTTTATATGTAAATATGATAAGGTAATCTGATAGCCTTATTCATTCTCTTCATCATTTCATTCATCAAAGATTGTTCCCGTGTAGATTATTGGACATTTATTGTAGCACTATATAACTGATTTAAAAATCTGTAAATGAATTAGCACTTTCATATTGAAACAAGCCTGCTAGCCTATGTATAAAAGCAAAAATGTTTGCTGTTTATAAGAAGGGATATAATGGGGTGGGGGTGGGGTAATTTCAGGTTAATTATTAATTTAAAAATGAACTAGCAATTTTGTACCTGGTAACTTTGTGGTGCACTCACCTCTGATAGTGACTTGAATTCAGTATGTAAAAAGGGGTTAGTGATATTCATTGCTGCTAAAAATGGGAACTCCCTCTGTGTCCTCTTTTTTTTTTTCTTCCTTAAAGCTCTCAGTGTACAAGTGGATATTTGGATATAAGACCTTACTGTAACAAATAGGAAAGGTAATATCTGAAGCGTGTAAATTGGATATATGAAGTTCTACTCTTAAAGAGGTAATCTTAGAGTATGGCTAAACATCTATATATGCAATCTATTAAAAGAACTTAATTCAGCTAAAAAAAAAAAAGAAAAAAAAAGAAAAAGAACTTTACAACTTTGGTGGGCGGGGCGAAGATGGGGGGGGAGGGGAGTATGGGAAGGAGAAACAAAGAGGAGGCAACAATGCTTGATAAGAAATGTACTCATTATCTTGCCCATGTAATTGCAACTCCTCTGTACCGTATTCTCACAATTAAAAAAAAAAAAAAAAAGATTTTCACATCCACTTTTGGTGAAGCCTTATTTGAAAATAGAACCTCATGGCTTGGAATGTGGCTTAGTGGTAGAGTGCTTGCCTAGCATGCATGAAGCCCTCAGAAAAAGCCGGAAGTGGCGCTGTGGCTCAAGTGGTAGAGTGCTAGCCTTGAGCAAAGTAAGTTCAGGAAAAGTACCCAGGCCCTGAGTTCAAGCTTCAGGATTGGAAAAAAAAAAGGTAAGAAAGAAGAAAAAACAGAACCTCATTCTGCTCAAAATTACAAAACTGTGTAATACTATTTACCACCAGTAACTTGGAAAGTTCCTACACAACGCAGAATGAAACTATCATACAAGTACAAAGCCAGAGTAAGATCAAAGAGGATTGCATGCTGCAGAACATAGCATGCAAGGTAAGTAGTGGCAGAGAGCAGACTTGAAAGGTAGGGGCTGTTCACAGGGTTATGTTGAGACCTTACCTTATAAGATATTCTGTAAAGGCTTCAGGGTTAAAAACTGATCTGGCTTAGGCGATAGAAGAGACACAGTGGGAAGAAGAAATAGAAATCCTCAGATGAGGGATCATCTAACAGACTTGGTCACTAAATGAGAGCCTTAAAGGAGATGGAATGGCCAAGTTTCAACTTGAGTGCTTGAGTGAGTACAGATGCTCTAACAAACCGTAGAGAAAATAAGTCTGGAATATTCATATCCCTTAGGCCCTAAAACTGCTCTCCCCGCCCACCCCCACCCATCTTATTTCATAAACCAAAAACAAGCAGCAGCAGCAATAGCCACAGCCACAAAAAAAAAAAATTGTGGCTGGGTGCTAGTGCCTCACACCTATAATCCTAGCTACTCAGAAGGTTGAGATCTGAGGATTAAGGTTCAAAGCCAGCCTGGGCAGGAGTATCCCTGAGGTTTTTCTCTCTAACTAATCAGCAAAAAGCCAGAAGCAGAGCAGAACTGTGGCTACAGTGGTAGAATACTACCCTTGAGCTAAAAAAGCTCAGGGAAAGCACCCAGGCCCTGAGTTCAAGCTCAGGATGGGCAAACAAACAACAGCAACAACAAAAACCTCACTTGTGATCAACAGATACTAGACTAAGAACCAGAATTTGAACTGAAGTATCCTGCTATCTGGTTTTCCTCTTATCCTATTAAGAATAAATGCTTTTACCTCTTCATAATTTTTACTTTGTGTGCTTTACAAACACTGAGATGAAACAAGATTTGAAAACTGATTTTTACCTTCTGTATATTAGCAGAATATGTGTGTGTGTGTGTGTGTGTGTGTGTGTGTGTGTGTGTGTATGGAAGAGTTTTTATAAAATAAATTTTAAGTACTCACTTCAAATTCTTTTACAAAATAACGAGTTTCACCTTGAATAACTGGTCTGTGATCCAAAAGCCTTGAATGAATTTCTCCAAGATCTGGAAAAATACAATGAAATCTAGGGTTAATCCATGTTGAAAGTCATAATTACTAGCTTGTTTTATTCTTTCCCTTCCTCCTGAAAACTAAAATCCAGTTTAGACCACCGATGAGGAAGAAATCACATACACTGCCAATGAATGTGTAATTAGTATTAGTACAACTATCTTTGATGCAGTATGCAATCAAACTGAAGACATATATATATATATATATATATATACACTTAATAATTTATATGCCTAATAATTTCTTGCCTTGATTTATAACCTAGAAATGAATGTAAGACCCCTGTAAATTTTTACTTAAGTATAAATAGAATGTCAAATTAAAATAAATGCCCTAAACACATTCATACAGTGGAATACTGCAAATCAGAGAGTAAAAATGAATTCACTAGTTATACTTATCAACACAGATAAATTTCAGAGTGTCAAATAAAAAAGCAAGTTTCAGAAGAATTAAAGCCATATATTTTAAAGATACACTTCCTATTGAAATACATACAGAAGCAATAAAAATATAAAGAAATTCAAAAGAATAATAAACATCAAATTCAGGATCCTGGTTACTAATAAAGAAGGGGGGCAATGGCTAAAATTGGAACAAAGTGCAGAGCGAAGCTTTTAATGATTTATTAAGGTAGTTGATGAGTGTTCATGAAGGTTATCTTTACTTCTTGATAGGTCCAAAACAGTTAAGGAAAAAAAATGTTCTTAATTTTAACTGGTTTAATTTAATTTCAACTAGTTCAAATTTTGAGGTAAACTCACCTCAAAATTTCTGCAGAAATCAAATAAAAACATGTATAATTCATTGGAAATCTGTTCCTCCAAAGTTTATGTCTTTACACATGTAACAGAGAATTTTTTTCTTTTCTTTCTTTCTTTCTTTTTTTTTGCTAGTCGTACAGCTTGAACTCAGGACCTGGGCACTATCTTTTTTACTCAGGGCTAGCATTCTACCACTTGAGCCACAGCTCTACTCACAGCATTTTGGGGGGGGGGGGGAGGGCGAGTTGAGGTCATAAGAGATAAGACTCTCACTGACTTTTCCAGACTGGGCTAGCTTTGAAACATGATCCCCAGATCTCAGTCTCCTGTACAGGTATGAGCCACCAGTGCCTGGCTTTATTTTATTTTTTATTTTTTTGGCTTTTTAAATTGGAGATAAAGAGTCTCAGGGACTTTACCTGCCTAAGCTAGCTTTGGGACATGATCCTCAGATCTTGGCCTCCTGAGTAGCTAGGACTACTGTACAAGTGACCAGCTTCATTCAATTTTAGTAAATTTCAAGGTATGTCTTGATAATATGCTAAAGTAGAAAAATGTAAATAGAACTATATTTTCTTAAATCCTTCAATAACTTACTACCCAGATTGTTTTTGTAAGATACAAGGCTTCCCTTTCCCTTAGACCTCTGGGAGTCTTTACTAACAGGAGTTATAAACGCTCAAGCAAGACCTAGTGTATGTGCAAGTTTATGGACTTTATCAGAGCACAGAAGCTACTTTGCAAAGAATACCTCTTTACATCTCAAGGATCACATGAGTCTTTGTAGTGTAACTGGCCAAAGGATATAGTCTGAACTTCAACCTGACATTCCCCATGACTGGCTCCAGCCTCATTCTCCATGTCAGCAATTATGAAGCATTTGCTGCTTTCCAAACATACTATGCTGGGCTGGGAAGGTGGCTCAGTGGTAGAGAGCTTGCCTTGCATGCCTGACGCCCTGGGTTCGATTCCTCAGCACCACATAAGCAAAAAGAAAAAAGCCAGAAGTGGCACTGTGGCTCAAGTGGTCGAGCGCTAGCCTTGAGCTGAAGAGCTGAGGGACAGCGCCCAGGCCCAGAGTTCAGGCCCCACGACTGAACCCCCCCCCCCCCCCCGCCCCGGCAAAAAAAAAAAAAAAAAAACATACTATGCTGCCTGAAGTGTCCTTACTACAGCTCACACTACTATCACTGCCTGGAACTCTTCTCCACCAACCCTACCTTATTTAATTCCCTCCTCCTTCAAAACTGCTTAGATACACTCTTCTTTGAAATCACCATCCACTGCTTCCAGCTTCCTCTGGGATAGAATCTTTCCCTTTCTTTGGGAAAGAGGAGTATGTCCATTTTTATTTCATGGATTGTCCTCTATGCTCCCAAATCACTTGTGGCATCTTCTTTTATCACATCCTTTATCACAGAGCCCTCAATTATCTCTTCCTCAGTGTCTCAGAGACCACATTGTACATGTTATTCTTAGGTGATATAGGGTTAACAAGTATTTTTCTATATGGCTTGAGTAGTGAAGGTTTGCTGATTTGAAGACATCTATGAGGCCAGATTTAAGAGAAAGTCACAGAAGCTCTGGAGAGAGAATTCAGTTCTGCATAGAAGTAGTTAAGGATCACTTCTAAAACCCCAGTTGTGCTCTGAAGTTTAAGATAGGAAAAAAATACACACACACACACACACACACACCCGGGGGAAAAGATTGTGAAGGACATATTACTATAGAAATAGTTTCATTATAAAGATAAGACAAGTCTACTAACAATAATTCATTTGGAGGAGCTCCAAATATTACACATAAATTCTATTTTAATAGTAGAAGGTAATCTACAGATTTTCACAAATATCCAACTCTAGTCATGCTACATTCATTCTTTTGTTGTTTGACAAACAACATAATTAAAATATAAACTTTTCTTCCCTAAATGTTCAAATTCTAAAGTGAGAGACCTTTCACAAAATATACAGGTAAGCCCTTTAATGGGAAGTCAGTGTGATTATTGCACATGAAGAAACAGTGAACTGCAGACCTCTCATTATCCTATAAAGAGAAAATTAGGTCCCAGTGGCTCACACCTATAATCCTAGCTATTCAAACGGCTGAGATCTGTAGATCCTAGTGCCAAGCCAGGCCTGGCAAGAGAGAGATGAAGAGAAAGGAGGGAGGGAGAGACAGAGGGAGAGAGGGAGAAAGAGACAGAGGGAGGAAGGGAGGCGGGAAAAAGGGAGAGAGGGAAAGAGAGAGAAGAAAAATTTTCTTTTGATGTTGAATGCAGAAACTTTTCAATAAAATATGTCAATCTCTGCCTATCATGAAAAACAACTTAGTAAATAACATTTTTCTTGATAGTACTTTGCTATAGTTTGGATGTTAAATATTGCCTCCAACGTCTTAAAACTCCTGGGAGGTGGTAGACTCTATAGCAAGTGGGACTTGAAGTCATTAGATATTCAGGTGCACACTCTCAGAAAGGATTAGAGGCCTACTGGCCCTCTGTCTCTGTTCATTCTGCCTCCTGGCTCATGATGTGAGTTCCCTCTGTACTGTACTACTGCAGTTGTTGTGAGAGGCCCAGAGAAATGAGCCACCTGATTGTGAACTGGAATCTCCAGAACCATGAGTCCTCCTTTATAAATTGTCTCAACTATTTTGTTATTGTAACAGAAACTTAAGTGTACATCTACATTATCGCCACACAATGATGTTCTCTTATGTTGGCTATTTCACACAGATAGTAACACCTCTCTATAAACCATGTCATTTACTCACAGTTCTCATTACTTACAATTGCTATATTTTACAGTGTTTTCCAAGAATGTTTAACTATAGCTGAACTATATGCTCATATAGAAATGCCATTTGTGCCACACACTTCCTTAACTAACTTCTTTGTCTTACTAGAGTTGAAAACCTGCTCTTCCACAGAACTCTGTTCCTCTGTAACACCTAACAGATACTTTAAAAATTCTTTAGTAGCCTCCTTATACTCAGAACCTGATTCTCTTGCAAGTTCAATGACTTTCATATCAGCCAGCACTAACTGAAGTCTTCACATTGACCCTGGCAACCTGACCATGCCTTCCTTGGCTTTCCACTACACAACAATACTCTCCTTTGGTTTTCCTTTTCTAAAATAAGCTCATGTCCTTAATATACAAACAGCTTCTTTCCCAGTGTCCTATGACGATGTATCACACAGTACAAACACTATTCTAGCATTTTCCAGAGCAATCTCTCATTCATATTGATGATTCTGTTCTTCACTGTAGACTCACAAATATTGAACTGACCACCAAAAGCATAAAGGCTCATGCTGGCATAGTTGTATAACATAGGTATTTTCTTTCACCAAGTACATATCTACTTCCTGCTCTTAGGACACTACACAACATTTCAGTACCATGCTTTTAACAGACACAAAATAATTACACATATTTATGAGATGCAGTGTGACTATAATCAATACATACATATAATAATATGTAATCAGATCAGTAGCATTTCTCTGACTACACACTATCATTTCTTTGTTTTGAGAACATGAAAAAAGTTCTCTATTGGGTATTTCTAAATATTTAATCAATTTCTAATATTTGGAGTTATTCCTACAACCCAAATGTATAATAACTTCCTCTCTCCATTCCTGGGGACTATTTTAAACAGCAAAGTCAGTGACAATAAGCCTTTCGCTTCATGAAAAACATGTCACTAATATAGAAACTGAAAAGGATACCCATAAAATGAGAGCTGAGACAAAGAAGCAGGTACTCCTTGTCTGACCTCAGATGGGAATGTGCATGTCAGGTGTCTCAAACATCCTTGTACTGGCACATGTGCAAATGATTACCACCACTACCGAATCTGGGCTTATAAAGGCATTTTAGTGAATAAGTGAATCCACAACTCCAAATCTCCAGGCAAGGAAGGTAACCAGACACCCCATTCTCCAGGAAGCCATACCAGTTTTCATTCTACTCCTCCTGACACCCAGCCATGTGCCAGACACTTCAAAGACCAAGGGTATAAATATTAAAATGAACTATTTACATGCTCACTGAACCATGGCAAATATTCAGCAAATATCTGTTTATGCTTCAAGCCTTAAGATAAACTAAAAAGTATTTTAACAATGAAAAGAATAACTAATTCCAGCAGGGCAGTTACATAGGAGACTAAGATTGGGAGGATCACAGCTCCAGGACAGCTAGAGCTAAAGGTTTGCTAGATCGCATCTCAAAGGCTGCGCGTGGTGGCGCACGATCTGTCATTCCATTGACCATGAGAAAGAAGGCTCCTGGTGCAAGCCAGCCCAAGCATAAAGCAAGCCCTACCTCAAAAGCAGCCATGGCAGAAAAGGCTGGAGGAGTGGCCCAAGGAGTAAAAGATGTGCCTAGCAAATGCAAAACCCCAAGTTCAAATTCCAGGACTTAAAGAAAAAAGTTGAACTCATAAAAGAAACCAATAGAAGCCAGGGCCAGGGGTTCACACCTGTAATCCTAGGCAAAGGCTGTGATCTGAGAATCATAGTTCAAAGCCAGGCAGGCCAGGAAAGTCCATGAGACTCTTCTCCAATTAACTACCAATAAAAGCTGGAAATAGAGCTGTGGCTCAAAGTGGTAGAGCACTAGGCATGAGTATGAATGCTCACAGACCGCACTCATGCAGGACAGGCACCAAAAAATAGAAAAGAAAAGAAACCAATAGTGCTGAGGATATAGCTCCACGGCAGCGCTCTTCCCTGGCATGTGTGAGGCTCTGGGTTCAACCCCCAGCATAGGAAGTGGGGAGAGCCAAAGGTGCTCTAGATGCACTTTCACTTACAACTCAATTTCAGATTAACTTGAAAAACATCCATGGAATTCCCTCTTTTTTTCTTGTCTCTCAACTTTCATTTTTAACTACACCCACCACAGTTTTATTGAAGAGTATAAGCTAAAAAAAAAAAAACTATTCATTTAAGGTGCACAAAGTGATGTTTTATAACATATTTAAATTATTATTGCTGAAAAACATTAACTCTTTTCTTGGACCCACAATTAACAAAAAGCAGAAGAAAGGCTTTCCATCCCTGCCTCCATGTTGTATCTGTGTTCTTTGCTCTGAGCTGGTCTCTCTGCAGATGCCTTGCAGATACCATGGAATCCAGAAAGAATGGATTTATCAAGCACATGTTTGTAGGGAGGAACACAGGAGAATATGTCCAAGGAAAGGCACAGCAGAACTTCCTTAGATTACCCACTAGCCAACAACGCCTAGTTTACCTTGATTGGGAAAGACTTCAAAAACAGAACTCTCTAGAATCCCTCCCAAAATAAGGACTGAGATAATGACCAACCAGTCCAGCTAAACTGGACTGTTTAACTGTACCTCTTACCTCTGCCCCCAATTCTATTTAACCAAAATCTCCTTTATCTGCCTTTTGCTGTTATGTTTTCATTTTTTTGGGGGGGGGGTATACAGAAAATTGGCCAGACCGGACATGTGGAACCCCGGGATTCTGGGTCTGAGGCCTTAAATTCCAGCTTCTGCTTGATAGATATATGTATTATAGCATAACTACAATTAAGCTAATTAGCATGTTGCCCACTTCATATACATAGTTACTATTCTCCCTCATGAGAACACAATATCAACTGGCTTAACAATTTTAAGTGTTTATATTTGGGGGGGAACATTCTTAAAATTCTATCACTCATTAGACTGAGAAAGGAGGATCCAGAGTTTGAGACCAACTGGATTACATAATAAGTTCAAGGCTTCCTAAGTATCATATCAAGACCCTGTCAAAAAGAAAAATAAAAAAAGTACTATCTATCTCAAAATAAAAAAAACTTCTGTAGAACAAAGGACACCATCAACAGAATAAAAAGCAACCCACAAAATGGAAGAAATATTTACAAAGTCCTTTTCAGGGGAATTGAGACCAACATTACAAAGAATTACATACAGTACAACAAGGAAACAGCTTGATAAAGAAACGAGCAAGCTGGGTGCTGGTGGCTCACACCTGTAATCCTAGCTACTCAAGAAGCTGAGATCTGAGCATCATGGTTCAAAGCCAGCCCAAGCAGGAACATCCATGAGATTCTAATCTCCAATTAACCACAGAAAACCAGAAGTGACTCAAGTGGTAGAGTGCTAGCCTTAAGCTGAAGGGCTCAGGGATAGAGCCCAGGCCCAGAGTTCAAGACCCACAATTGTCTAAAAAAAAAAAAAAAAGCAAAAGAGGCTGGGAAGGTGGTTCAGTGGTAGAGTGCTTGCCTTGCATGCATGAGGCCCTGGGTTCGATTCCTCAGCACCACATAAGCAGAAAAAGCCGGAAGTGGTGCTGTAGCTCAAGTGGTAGAGTGCTTGCCTTTAGCTGAAGAGCTGAGGGACAGTGCCCAGGTCTGGAGGTCAGGCCCACGACCGACACAAAAAAAAAAAAGCAAAAGAACATTATAGATACTTCTCTAAAGATTTGCAAATGGCCAACACAAACATGAAAAGATGATTAAGATCACTAACTATGAGGGAAGTACAAATCAAAACCACAAAGAGAGACCATTTCACTTCCATTAGGATGGCTAATGCCAAGGACAGAAAATATCAAGTGTTGGTGGGAATTGAGAAACTGGAAACTCTGCACTGCTAGGGAGAATGGAAAATGGTGCATCCAATCTGGAATGAGGAATGCTGATTCCTCAAGAAAGTTAAAAATAAGATCGTCATATAATCCTGCAATTTGGATACATACCCCACAGTACTAAAAAATAAGGCCTCAAAGGACATTTGTATATTCATGTTCATAGCTGCATTATTTACAATACTCAAGGAAAGAAGCTACCCAAGGGTCTATGGACAAGTTAAACAGTGTGATGTACACATACAACGGATTACTTCTAAGCTTTAAAAAGGAAGAAGTTAGCCAAACCCAGTGGCTCCCACCTGTAATCCTAGCTACTCAGGAGGCTGAGGTCTGAGAATCTTGGATAGATGCCAGCTCAAGCAGTAAAGCTCTTTAGAATCTTATTTCCAATTACCCACCAAAAAAGCCAGAACTGGAGCTGTGCCTCAAGTGGTAGAATGATAGCCTTGAGTACAGAAGCTCAAGAACAGCACCCAGGCCCAGAGTTCAAGCCCCAAGACTGGCACAAAAATAAAAACGTTTTAAAAGAAAATTGTTACATGCTAGAGCATGAATGTACACTGAAGATATCACTGAAAAGCCAGCTACCAGAAAAGGTACTAATCACAAGGTACCAGAAGCAGTCAGATTCCTAGACAGAAGTAGGGATCTGGTGGGTGACAGAGTGGGTTGCAATGGGCAGAGAATGGAAAGTTATTGTTCAATAGAAAGCTTGAGTTGGGTAAGATGAAGAATTCTTGGATGGACCGGGATAATGAGGGCACAACAACGTGAATCTATTGTTATACTAAGTTATTAAAGCCACTAAAATACGGCATACTTGAAAACACTTAAGGTGGTAAATACATTTTTCTGCTGTAGTGGGGGTTTTGTAGTGACCACTTGAGCCACACCTCTACAGCCTTTTTTGCTCTGTTAATTTTTAGATATTGTTTGGCTTTTGCCTAGGGTCACCTGAGACAGATCCTCCTCATCCTCCCCAGGAGTTGAGATAACAGGAAGGAGACACCATGCCCCATTTAAGATGATAAATTTCTAATGTTTATTTTTACCACAGTTATAAAAACGAGTTAAATTCTTCACTGGGTGTACATATGAATAATCCTAATTTAGTTGTAATACCCGCGCAACGTTTCTGAGCTCCTAATTAGACTTACAGGACAATTGTAAACACAGTTTAAACACAGCCAGCTATGCTGGGGCTGCCTACCAATCTGATAAATAACATTAAAATGAAGCAGGCACCAACCAAAGGATACCATTCCCTAATAGTACCAAAAGGGTGTAGGAGGGTTAACAGCTTCCACATTGAACAAGGGTGAAGGTGGACAGGTTTAGCACTGTATTCAAGGTGGTTGGCGATGAACTCGGCAGTTTCAGCGGGGATTTGGTGAATTCACGCCTGTAACCCTGGCTAGTCAAGAGGCTGGGCTGAGATCTGAGGCTCGGGGTTCGAATCCAGCCTAGGCAGGAAAATCTGTGAGACTCGTTATCTCCCATGAACTACCCAAAAACCAGAACTGGGGCTGTGGCTTAAGTGGTAGAGGGCTAGCCTTGAGCACCGGGCCCAGGCACCGGACACATGGCAGTTTCCCTCAGGAAGCAGGCTCCCTGTGAGCTCAGGGAACTAAACCTTCTTGAGGTTCTGTGGAGATCTGGGCTGTGGCCTGCTCTGAGCTCAAAACTAGACAATCGGGCATCTGCAGGTGGAGGGAGGGGGCTTTTCTCACCCTAAAAGCTAAGGTCTGGTAGTCCTGGCACGACCCAGGGACAGACGAGGTCAGGAGAACGGAAGCCCCGGGGCTCCGCGACCCCCAGGGCTCTGGCCTCCCGCCGAGGTCCAGCGCTATGGGCGGATCTGGTGGTTGGGCCCCGGAGACGGGCCCAATGGGGGAGGTGAGGAACGGACCCGGGAAGCGGCCCAGGAAAGCTCAAGGCTAAAGAGGAACAGAATCCGGAACTAGAGGAGGGAAGGCGGAAGCCGGGCGGGGGAGGGGCGGGGGAGGAGCGGTGGGCGGGGACGGCCACGCCCCCTCCCACTCCACGCACTCCCCGGTCCGGCTCCGCCTGAGGCGAGGCCCAGGTCAGAGGTCGCCGCCTGGGAGGTGGGGCTACGCAGGAATTCCCCCGGGGAACGACGGCCCTGCCACTCCGTACCCTTAATAATGAGATGTGCTGAGCCCGCAGTCCCCAGCGAGTCCCTCTTCTTGCCGCTGCCGCCGCCGCCACCCGTGAGGGTCTCACGACCCACAGGGGCCTCCGTCCCTCCGCCACTCATCCCGACCAGCTCCGCCCACCGCCTTGCCGCGCCTGCGCAAACTGTGTGGCACGCTTTGTAGGCGTGAGGCGTTGCGTCATCACAAGGCGTCTACTCGGCCGGCAGTTCTCGGAAGGTGCGGTGGTGTAGCCGATGTCGCCATGTTGGATTAGGGCAGATGTTCCCAGAGGCGAAAACTTCTGAAAAAGTAACTGACCATTATTCCACCCTAAACCTGCTAGAGCTCATTATGGCTTAGGGAGACTGAAGGAGGAGGTGAAGGAGTATTACTAGTATAAATATTTTATTAAATATGTATTCATGTATAAGACATAGGTATTTAAATATTATACTTATTATTTTAGAAAGCATAATAGAATTAAAGATTAGGTAACTTTTTCTTTTTTGAGAAAGGCACTCGTACGGTAGCCCAGGTTGGCTTCAAACTCGTGGTGCTCCTGCCTCGGGATGACAGCCACACAGCACCACACTTGCAGAAAACTACTCTTCAGATTCACTTGTGTCCGTGTGAAGGAAAAAAAAGTACCTGCTGACCTTTGTACTTATAAAATTTCCACCTTATATTCACTAATAAAACACATGTGATTGCAGAAAACTGCTTTGCTAGACTGTCATGGAGAGACAACAACAGGGCTGCCATACGGAGTTTTAGTAAACTCCATAACTTCATCTTGTGGTTTAACACATCTTCATCCTCTGCGGGGAACCATGGCCTCCTTTACCTCCTATGTGCATGCAATGTGTTAAGACTCATCTCTGATCTCTCTTTTTTTGTCTTCTGAAGAAGGACTTTAAAATAAAGAGTCTCCAAATGAAAGGATGGAGGAAGGTGCAGCACTCCTGACTGCCTACCCCTAACATGGTCAGGAGAGACCTTCCTGATGGCAGTTTTATCCCCAGGTCTAAAATGAGGAGACAGATGGAGTAGAGTGGGGTGGGATGGGTGAAGAAGGAACTTGGAGATTTCTAGCAGAGGAGATAAATCCAAAGGTAAAGAAGCATATAACAGATGAGTTAATAAATACAATGTAAGGTTGGTTAATTCCAAATAGGCCTGACTTCCAACCTTTCTAGTCCTACTTTTGTTTTATTATCAATTTCTAGAAAACAAATTTTCTCTTTGCCACTTATTCCTCTTACTTCTGAGCACTTTACTCATTGAAGCTTTTTTTTTTTTGTCTTTATAAATCTAAATCTACCATACGCTTGTCTTCTTAGTGTTTTTGAACCACTGAAAAATCTGAGAAGGCTGACTATCATACAGTAAGGTTGCCTATATTAATATGGATTAAAAAAATACATATTCAGGGTTCTGCCTCAAAAGTTTGCCAAGGTACTTTGGCCAAGTGTCAGTAACTCATTCTTGTAATTCTACCTATGCAGGAGGCTAAGATCTGAGGAGTGAGGTTCAAAATGAGCCCGGGCAGAATACTTATATGACAGTTAATCAGAGCCTAACACATAGTACATGGCTTAGAAATATCTTTATTATAATGGCTTCCCTAACTGCTTTTTAAGTGCTGTTTATTCAAGACATGAGAAACAAAGGACCTCCATTCATCTGGTCAAATCATTACTAAATGACCCCATGCTGCTGATCACATATATGGTATATATGTGCACATCGGAGGGAAACTAGGAGGAGGACACAGAACTAGAGGGAAACAAGGGAAAACATACAACATTGGGACCCATCAGCTGCACTGGTCATTGATCAAAACGAACTAAGCAACCCCGTGGCAATGATGGGAGGGAAGGAATGAGTGGGAAAGAGTGAACAGCTGACACTATGCAAAAGGAAAGGAATGTACATATCACCCAATGTGAAAGAAAGAACTGTATAGCCAAAGCCCATAGAACTCATAAACTTTATAGACCACAATAGACAATTTGCCCCATGAAGGTTAGAATGTGTTATGACTTTAACCTTAGTTATCCCACAATACTATGAAATATGTGAAATTATGTAATCACTTAATCACAATAAAAAATTTGCAAAAAAATAATAAAGTGCTGTTTATTGTGCTTCAATTCTCTAATACACTCTTACCACTAAAAATCACCACTAAAATATCTTCTACTTGTTTAGCACTTTACCTGTGTGAATTTTTCCACATTTTCTTTTTTTTTCTTTTTTCTTTTTTTTTTTTTGGGTCCCGTCGTGAGGCCTGAACTCTGGGCCTGGGCGCTGTCCCTCAGCTCTTCAGCTCAAGGCTAGCACTCTACCACTTGAGCCACAGCCCCACTTCCGGCTTTTTTTTTCTTTTTGCTTATGTGGTGCTGAGGAATCGAACCCAAGGCCTCATGCATGCAAGGCAAGTGCTCTACCACTGAGCCACCTTACCAGCCCCCCACATTTTCATTAATACATATTAATTATACTTGTTTAGCACTTTAAATTTATCGTTCATCACATACTATGTACCATCCTCTCAATCTAACTGAGAATCCAACCAAGGTGGGTCAGTTGCAGATTTTCCCTCAATCAAAATATAAGTAATCTTTTTTGTAAAATGATATATTTGCATAGAAACTTTGCACATCTTAACTGTAACCTCTCTGTACATCACCCTTATAATAAATATTTTTTAAAATGCTGAACAAAAACTTTGCACAACTTTTTGTAGACTTGAAATACTCTCTAGATTGCCTATAGTTACTTACAAATATAAATACCATGCCAGTAGTTATACTTTATTGTTTGGTGAATAATAAGGAAAAATATAAAGATTAAGTACAAGTGAAACCATAAACCTAACTAGAAGACAACAATGTGCGATGTAATTTCTTATTTATTTTTGGTGGGACTGGGTTTTTTTGGGGGGAGGGGGGTCCAGTCATCGGGCCTGAACTCTTGGCCTGGGTGCTGTCCCTCAGCTCTTCAGCTCAAGGCTAGTGCTCTACCACTTGAGCCACAGCGCCACTTTCAGCTTTTTTTCTTTTTGCTATGTGATGCTGAGGAATCGAACCCAGGGTCTCATGCATGCAAAGCAAGTGCTCTACCACTGAGCCACCTTCCCAGCCCAGGTACTGGGGTTTGAACTCAGTGTCTTGCACTCATTCAGCTTTCTTGCTCATGGATGGCCCTCTGCTACTTGAGCCACACACCTAGCCCAGCTTTTTTTTTTTTTCTAAAATTTTTATTTTTTTATTGTGAAAATACTGTACAGAGGGGTTACAATTATATGGGCAAGATAGTGAGTACATTTCTTATCAAGTATTGTTGCCTCCTCCTTTGTTTCCCCTTCCCATCCCTTCCCACCCCACCCCCACCTGATCATAATGACTTGTACATCTCATTGTTGCAGTGGGTCCACCTGTATCCCTATTTAAACAATTTGTTTTTTCTCTTCCCCTCCACAAATTATACCAACATCAAATACAGTGAAAGCAGGGGTTATACCCTGGGGGAGAACATTTCTTTTTTTTTTTTTTTAAATTTAATTTAATTTTATTTGTGAACATACTGTACAGAGGAGTTACAGTTACATGGGCAGGATAATACGTACATTTCTTACCAAGCATTGCAGCCTCCTCCTTTGTTTATCCTTCACATCCCTTCCCAGCCTCCCCCCTCCCCCCCTAATACCAATCCTTCTCCTTCCCCCCCCCCCCCCCCACCAATGTTGTAAAGCTCGTTTTGGACATGACAACTTGTACTTCTCATTGTTGCAACAGGTCCACCTGTATCCTTAAACAACTGGTTTTTCCCCATCTCCTCCACAAGTTATACTGACATCAAATATAGTGAAAGCAGGGGTTATACTGTGGAGGAGGGACATACAAAGCAACAAAGAGATAATCTTATAAATGTGTTAGAAACACATGCATGAAAGAAAAAAAACATTAAAATACACATCTAAGGGTTCATTTTCCTGACATCACATTATCTGACCTTTTCCGCTTGACTCATACATATACTAGATATTACAAATAAGGGAAACCATGGGACCTACGTTTCTTTGGGCCTGGCTTACTTCACTTAATATAATTTTTTTCCAAGTTTTTCCATTTCCTAACAAATGGGGCAATGTCATTCTTTTTGATGGAGGCATAGAATTCCATTGTGTATATATACCACATTTTCTTGATCCATTCATCTACTGAGGGGCATCTGGGTTGGTTCCATATCTTAGCTATGGTAAATAATGCTGCAATAAACATAGTTGTGCTGGTAGCTTTAGTGTGGTCTTGTTTGTAAACATTAGGGTAAATGCCCAAAAGTGGGATTGCTGGGTCATAGGGGAGCTCTATGTGAAGTCTTTTGAGGAACCTCCATACTGCTTTCCAAAGTGGTTGAACAAGTTTACATTCCCACCAACAATGAAGTAAGGTTCCTTTCTGTCCACATCCCCTCCAGCATCTGTTGTTGTTAGAGTTCTTGATTTTTGCCGTTCTAACTGGAGTGAGGTGATATCTCAATGTTGTTTTGATTTGCATTTCTTTTATGGCTAGGGATGTTGAACATTTCTTCATGTGTGTATTGGCCATCCTTCTTTCTTCTTCAGAGAAGCTTCTCTTTAAGTCTTTAGCCCACTTACTTATTGGGCAGTTGTTTCTTTGAGGATTTGTTGTTGGGTGGTTTAATTTTTTGAGTTCCAAGTATATTTTAGATATGAGACCCTTGTCCATTGTATGGCTAGTAAAGATCTTCTCCCAGTCCGTGGGCTTTCTATTGATCTTGCTAGCTATGTCATTTGCCCTGCAGAAGCTCTGCAACCTTATACAATCCCATTTGTCCAACCTTTCTTTGATTTGTTGTGTTTCCGGGTCTCTATTCAGAAAATTTCGGCCTGAGCTGAGGAGACCCAGGGTTTCTCCTATTCCATCCTGTAATGTTTTCAGAGTGTCTGCTTTGAGTTCAAGGTCTTTGATCCATTTGGAGTTGATTCTGGTGCAGGGTGATATATAAGGATCTAGGTTTAGTTTTCTACATGTAGTTAACCAGTTTTGCCAGCACCATTTACTGAAGAGGCTGTCTGTCTTCCATTCTATTGTTTTAGCTCCCTTATCG